TTTTTTTTTTTTTTTTTAGGCTACCCCTTGGACAGTGAGTTATTTGAAGCAGGGCCTTTAATTTATCCTGTATATGTAGTGCCTCATATTTTCTTGCATACCACGTACCTCTAAGTAAAACACACACTTTGTTTTTGAAACAATGATGAAAAAAAGATCTTTCCTTGAAGATCCCAAGAAACATGGTATTTTCACTGGGAAAACACAGGCAGTCACAGTAGTGGAGGAGCAAAAACCTGTGGCTGCTCTTCTAATCTCCTAGGTGCAGTGCACAGTAGGTGCTGCTGGCTGAGCTGAACTGCATGGGTGGCCAGCAGGGTCTGCCAGGTCAGCTGAGGGTCTGATCCTAGGCATCGCCTGGAACACCGGCCCCCACGGAATTGACTGAGGTCCCATCCAACTTGAGAAGAGGGGCCAGGCAATTTATCCCCTGCAGGATTAAGTTCTCAACTGACTCAGCAGGCTGCTGGCTGCCCACCCCTTTCAGCTCAATAAGAAAAGAGAAGGGTCAGGCATTTCAGCTCAGCTAGTGGCACCTGCTGAGTCAGTCAGCTATGGGTCCTGATCCTGCTGGAGCTCAACTCCCTGACCCTCCCTTCTTTAGCTGTAAGGGATTTCAGGAGACTGCAGGTGCCACTGGGTGCCCACCCAGCTGGATAAGGTAGGCTGGGTAGTTCAGCTCCTTCAGGAGTGGGCTCTCTGGCACCTCCATTTCTTCATTTAAAACACAGCCTAATTTCCAGCAGCTAATTTTGGCAAAAAATGTGTTTGTTACAGTCAACTAAATACAGTAGGTCCAATTTGCTTGTGCCTAAGAGACACTACCTCAACATAATTGCTATTAACAGAAGTCACATCCTTCATTATTTGTTTTCACATTTCTAATTCTGCCTGTCACTGCATTGCAATAATTCTGCATCATAGATGCTCATTCATGAAGCTGGAGTACCACTACCAGTGTGCTAGTGACACTAGCAGAAAATATTTTTATTTCAGTGAGGATGTACTTGAGATATAAAACAAAGTTATTGAACATACATTTTGGAAGAGCTCCAGTTCTGTCTATACCACACACAGCTACCTGGTTTATTAGATGTACATACACTTGCCTTTTTTCACATGCTCACTGGGGATAGTATGGGCTTGAAATTTTAGATTAAACAGGGTTGTTAGAATTAATAATTGTGGACTGGAATTGTGTCCTGAGAATTTTTTATTTATTTATTTGATTTATATTCTACCTTATTTAATAGGCTTAGTTTGTATATAGTTTCTCTAGATTTCCAGAGGAGTGATGAATAACACAGTTTGATTTGTGTATCTGTGGGAGGGAGGGAAGGGGGGAAATCCTTGTCCACACTGCTTAAGGAAAACTGCTAGTTTCATAGTTTCTAGGGTCAGAAGGGACCTGGACAGATCATCAACTCCGACAGGACCAAGTGCTGGGATCATGATACCCTAGCCAGATATCTCTCCAACCTCCTCTTGAAGACCCCCAAAGTAGGGGAGAGCACCACCTCCCTTGGGAAAGTAATGCCTCCTGATATCAAGCCTGAACCTGCTCTCAATCAATTTGTGGCCATTATTCCTTGTTATCCCAGGTGGTGCCCGGAGGAACAGAGCCTCACCCAATTCCTGCTGGTCCCCCCTGGTGAGCTTGTAAACAGCCACCAGATCCCGTCTCAGCCTTCTCTTGTGGAGGCTGAATAGGTTCAGGCCATTTAGCCTCTCTTCGTAGGGCCTGCCCCACTGCCCCTTGACCATGCGAGTAGCCCTCCTCTGGACCCTCTCAACTCTAGCCGCATCCCTCTTGAAGTGTGATGCCCAGAACTGGATGCAGTACTCCAACTGCAGCCTGACCAGTGCCACACAGAGGGAAAGGAACACCTCCCTGGACCAGCTTGTGATGCATCTGTAAGTGTACAACAAGGTGGGGTTAGCGTAATTGACAGCTTCCTGGGATTGGCAGCTCATGTCCATCCAGGAGTCAACAAAGACTCTAAGGTCCCTTTCTGCCACCGTGTTGACAAGAAGGGTGTTCCCCAGCCTATAGGTGTGTTGCTGGTTCCTTCTCCCTAGATGCAGCGCCCTGCACTTGTGTGTGTTGAATTCCATCCTATACTCATTCGTCCACCTCTGCAACCTGTCTAGATCTAGTTGGATTCTGTCCCTCCCCTCCAGCATGCCCACCTTGCCCCACATCTTTGGGTCATCAGCAAATTTGGACAGTGTGCTTTCCGCACCCACATCCAAGTCACTGATAAAGATGTTGAATAGCATAGGCCTGAGGACTGAGCCCTGGGGAACCCCACTGCTCACATCCCTCCGGGTTGAAAATGACCCACCCACCACCACTCTTTGGGTGCAACCATTGAGCCAATTTGCCACCCATCTGACTGTGCAGGCATCAATGCCAGAGTCGCCTAGTTTTTTTTATAAGAATAGGGTAAGAAACAGTGTCAAATGCCTTCTTGAAGTCCAGGTAGATGGCATCCACCTCAACACCCACGTCCAAGGACTTTGTGACCTGGTTGTAAAAGGAAACAAGGTTAGTCAGGCATGATCTGCTTGCAGTGAGCCTGTGTTGGTTGTCCCTGAGCGTTACCTCCCATGCTGGGACCCCGCAGCTGTATTCCTTGATAATTTTCCCAAAGGTCTTCCTAAGGACCGAGGTGAGACTAACTGGCCTATAGTTACCCTGGTCTTCCTTTCTCCCCTTCTTGTAAATGGGGACATGCTGGCCTTTTCCCAGTCCTCTGGGACCTGACCTGAGTACCAAGAGCGCTCAAACAGCTGTGCCAGGGGCCCTGCTATGACCTCTGCCAATTCCCTCAGTACCCTCAGATGAAGAGCATCCGGACCTGCAGATTTATACACACCCATCCCCTCCAAGAATTCCCTAACTAGATTGTCCCTGACCCTAGGCATGGTGTCATGTCCCCTGAGCCTGTCTGTAATCCTAGTGAGGGAGTTGTCCTGGTCCCTGCTCAGAAATATGGAGGCAAAGAACTTGTTGAAAAAAAATCAGCTTTTTCCTTTACTGCAATCACCAGATTGCCAAGCCTGTCCTGTAGGGGCTCCACATTGCCTGGTGCCTTCTTACTCCTTATGTATTTGAAAAAGGACCTTTTGTTATCCTTAATTCTGGTTGCCAGCCGTAGTTCTGTCTCTGCCTTGGCCTCCCTAACTGCCTTCTTGCAATCATGAGCAACAGAGGTGTAATCCTCCTTGGTGATAGCCCCTTGGTTCCACTGATTGTATGCCACCTTTTTTACCTCTAGGCCCTCCTGGATGCCTTCACTGAGCCAAGAGGGCTTTTTAGCACTCTTGCCAACTTTGGTTCTCATTGGGACTGACTCTGTCTGAGCTTGGAGGATTGTCTCCTTAAGGAACAACCATCTGTCCTGGACTCCCATCTCATTGAAGCTCTGAGTCCCCAGTGTCCCTCTTACTAATCTCCTTAGCCCATTGAAGTTGGACCTCCTGAAGTCAAGGACTTTTGCCTTACTGCTTGCTTTCACCACCCTGTGCCAGATAGTAAATTCCAGCAGATGATGGTCACTAATGCCTAGGTAGTAGAGCACCTGCAGATCCCTCACCAGGTCATCGCCTGTGGCAAGGACCAAGTCCAGCAAGGCATTTCCTCTGGTGGAATTATGTACCTCCTGGGTTAGGTGGAGGTCCTGTATGCAGTCTTAAAACCTACATGAGCATTAAGACCTGGTTGACTGATCCTCCCAGCAGATATCTGGGTAGTTTAGGTCACCCATGACAACCACATCCCTTGTCCCTACAGCTTCCATGAGCTGACCTGAAAATTTGAGGTCCAGCTCATCCCTCTGGTGAGGCAGTCTGTAGTAGATGCCCTCTATCAAGTCCCTTTCCTTATGCCCCCCTTGCATTGTAACCCAGAGCACCTGTTTGGCCCTCTTCTGAACCCATCCTGATCATTGAGGACATGTACTGCTCTTTAACATAGAAAATATTATTGTTGCTAAAACAACTTTAGTGTCCTCAGAATCTCTCTTGCTTGTGTCTGAAAAGCTTCTATAGATGGCTGACCAAAGCGCAGCTGACATTTGCCTTAGTTCTGGTTTTTGTCCTGTTAAACCCCATCCACACAATAAAATGTGCTTCTATGGGAAATCTTCACTGAAAGATCTTCCCATTTCATCTATCAACAAAATGCAGAAAGTTTTTTTTCTGATAAAAGCCAGGCTTTGCATGGCTCAATTAGGGATTGCACCTCTCTCTTGTACCACCTTCTGGTATCTCTTGACACCCTAAATGTAGCAGGGTAGTTACAGGGCTGTGGTTTAGCTGCCTTATTGGTTTACCTTGCTAAACTTGGCTAGGATTAAGTTGAACCATCTAGAGGGCTTGTGCCATGTGTGCAGGTCCTTTTGGGTAGGGAAGCCAAAAGAGATGTTGAGGCACAATGCCCTTGAGTGGTGGATCTGCTCTAAGTCCAGCTGACCTATTATGATTATGCCTGCCTGGCATAATCTGGTCTCTAGTGCTGGTGATGATGACAATTTCTCAACAGTAATCCTTAATTTGAGGTAGGTGTTCTAGGGAAAGAATTTGCACCCATTCTCTTTAGCACCTCTTTCTCTGATATTGTGATAGGGCCCATGCTGATGCTGACCTCTGCCCAGCATGAAGAGGAGGTGTCAGAGTCACAGAGATTATTAGTACCTCTGAATGTCTTGCTGTGCAATACCAGTTCAGTTCTGAATAGGGAGAAACTCAGTTGCACTTTTATGGTTCCTCACTATACTCTGAAAACTTGGAGGTGACATACACTCTTCATTGTGGACAAACTGTAAATTGTATTTGAATCTAATACTTTTAATTAAAATTGCTATGTCTGTGCATCAACTCAGTGGAAGATGACATTTTTCTGACCCCAATCAAGAAAGAGGTCCCAACATCCAAGATTATCAGTTATACACTTTCTATCTGACTCTAATTTTGGTTTAAGAACCAGTGAGGGCTTGCCTGTTCATATTTTAATAAATTGTTCTCTTTGTTTGAACAGTGTCATTTCTGTTCTCGTTGATTCTACTTTTTTGAATATTGATAGAGCTCCAATTTGCACAGTAAAGAAAATTTCAACTTTCACCCTGGTTTGAGGGGCATCAAAAGGGATGAGATATCTTTTGTTCATTAACTCAGCGGTCACCCAGGTATTTTGCCAGAACTCCTTACCAGTCCTCACCATTCTGTGAGGGGGAAATAATAATTATATTAATTTCAATTACATACTGTAGTTCTTCTCTAGGCGGAGAGCCAGTGCATAAGCTTGTAGAAACGATGAGGGGCACTGGAGCTAGTACCAGTATGCAGAAAGGGAAGGTGTTTCTGGGTGGAAGGAAGGGGCTTTTTCTTAAATTCCAGTTTGTTTTCAGTTTATCTACTTGAAGGACTAAAGCTCAAATATTGAGGAGAAAAACTAGGGGAAAAGCTGGTATACACCATCAGTTTCTTAATGAAGGCAAAAGCAACTAACATATAACAATGTCTCAAGAATTCTAAATGTACATGATTTTGGAACCGAACTCTGTCTCAGGAACTGACTTTAAGAAGGTACAGCACAGCTTGCAGGGACACATTCTTCCCTCACCTCTCCCCCTGCCATTCCTTAGCACTGAATGCAAACGGCTACCTCTTGAGAAGTGAAGGTAGTTTAGTCTGCAGGCTCATTCATCTTTGACCATTCAGCTGATATTTGAAATGCTACTACTATGATATAATAGGTTTAATTAAAGGGCTTGTTTAGCTTTTTGGGATTTATGGGAGTTGTGATAACCTTTAAATTGACAAAGGGGCCAGATAAATAGAGATGAATTGCTAATTATCCCTGTGCGAGACTCTCTCTTGTCATGTCACTTCATCAAAGTCACTGAGGACTCGGGATTCACTTTAGAGCAATGAATAAAATAGATTGGAGACTCATACAAATTGGGACTTGACTAGTCAACTCACACAATGCATTTGTTCATTTTAGATAAGGGGACCTGGTGCAGGGGGTCAATACACCAAGCTACCTTTCTCCTTGAGAAAGCTAAGTTCAAAATACTGCATTAGAGGGGTATATGACTGAAAGTATGTAGAGGCATAAACTGCAAGGGCAGAGAGGAATACTTTAGGGCTTTGAAAGGGGTGTAATAACAGGGATTAGGGTATTTAAATGAAACCCAGAAGTGATAGACATACTGGGGTGTGGAGAAGTGTGTGTGTGTATGGCGGGGGGCGATGGAAGAGAGAGGTATTAAGAAAGTGGGGGAAGAATGATTTCAGCACTTTTCCTGTCCTTGCAGGCCAAAGACAATATGTTCTGGTGGGTCTTTTCTAAAAACGTATGTTTCCAAAACTTTGGAGCATGAACCATTTTTGGTCCTTTATAGATGCATCCACAAAATGACGTTAGTGTTTAGTATCCTTCACCCTTTCCTAGAAAGGTATTTCTAAAATTAAGATGAGAAAGCTCAATTTTTCCCCTTTCACCTTGGCATCAGTTGATCAATGTAAACTAGCGTCTGATGTTGGCTATAGTCATTGGCTACATCAAGGTCTCATAGCAGTAATGTGAGCTTTGTAAGAACCCCTTTTATAGATATCATATGGCTTGCCTTCCCCCAGCATCAGAATATACAGTATGCCACTTATCTGGATTTAGAAATATCTTGAGCAATTCACTTTTAAAATCTAAGCAGTTTTATTCTGGACTAACTCATAAATGGAAATTGACTGCCTTGGAAACCATTAAAACAAATCACTGGGACAGGAAATAAGGGCACCATGATTAGCAGTCAGTGTAGTAACAAGTATCACAAGTTCACTCTACTAGGTCCATGGGAGTTTGCAATGAAAAATGTTCATGAGGTGGTGTAGTCTAATTTCGATGCCAGAACAATCATGTTCCCTTGAGCAATGTATTGTTGTCCTGGGAAACTGTATTAATTTTTTTTCTAAAAGATTTGTCTAGTCTAGGTTTAAATTATTCAAGTGACAGGCCTGCTAATATCTCCCTTCAGAGATGGCAACACAATTTAATAACTCCCATGATATCAGAACAGTCTTTCTAGTACGGCCTAAGGATTTCCTCCCTCTCAATCTCAGGTAAAGTCTTATGTTCTCTGACACAGGACCACTGTTTCCTGTGAAATTCATAGGTTACATGAAGAATACATTTTACATGATTGTTGGGATCAGGTTTGGACCCTCCATATTTGCAACATGCATCCCCAGGAAACATTACTAGTTTAGTTATTGTAATGCCCTCTCCCTGTCACTAGAGGTCAGGGAAATGCTATGAAACTGGAGAATTCCCCCAAATGTTGTTTGCTGTATACCTGCAGACAGACACACATTTTAGAAATGGAACAGGTCTAATGTTAAAAGTGACATCTAACATTATGAGCCCAGCTATGAATTTAAAGATGATTTATGCTCATAAAACTGATTCTGTGGCTATAGCCCTTTACTACCGCCCAGACCTGCACCCAGCATGTTTTCTGAGTCATAGCCTCTTTGGTGGCTGACACATGAGAATGACTATTCTTTCTTGTCAGCAGGATGGAGACAATAGAGCTGTAGTAGGAGATTGCAGCTTTGCTTCCAACCTCTGCATCAACACCACTTCATGTAATTCTGCTTTTCAATTCCTTCTTGCTCAGAATAGATGTAGAACACAGAACACAGCTTGACCTTGAAATGCTAGCAATAAAGTAACACTGATATGTTGGGATGCTGCATCTCTTTCCCCTCAACTACTACCTGATCAAAAGTCAGATTCTCAGTTTTGCCAAGACTGCACAGCCAAGCAGGGAAATGAGTGAAGAGAAGGTAAGCAAGCAGGTTCAAACAGGTAAGAGCAGCTGAGGAGTTCTTGCTCTAATTTGGGTTGGTTGGCAGTAACCTCCAAGGGGCACTCCACCAGCTGGCTGATGAGAGCTAGTACTCCACACCCTGTTCTGACCTCTGGTTCCTATTCTTGGCAGGCCCCTACATGAGGGGTTTATAGGAACAGGCTGTATTGGCTCTGTGCCTGCTGGGAACTCCAACTGCAGGGACGTCACAGAGTGCTTTCTAAATGAGGAGTGCAAAGGGGATGGGTCAGAACAGAGCTGTTGAGTTGAACCACAAATAGATTTAAGGGCATGAAAGAATTGTGGGGATTTCAGTTACAATAGGGATTTGCTAAGCATTATGCCTCATGGACTGCTTAGTAGTGGCTGTGCCAAGGTAACTGCTTTAAAGGACAGTTCTTGAGGGCATAAAGGGCAGACAATACCTGTCATTACATTTAACATTTTTTTTGGCTACTCTCCATTTTAGATCTCCTTCCCCATTTCTGCAGTGCCTTATGAGTTCATACTCTTTTTGCAAACTTACTAAGTTTGGTACTTTTATTGCTGATAATATTAGGGATGTCTACTGGATCATGCTGCCACCAATTTTTGTCCAAGGCATGATTAAAGTAAATGGCAAAAATTGTATACATACTAAGTATGCAAATGACCAGTGTATTTCTCCTGGTGAGGCTGCTAACTAAGCAGCTAGTGACTCACTTCAAAGGATGTGACTCTTCAATGAATATGGTAAGATAGAAGGAATCCAATTGTTGAACACCTTGCTTATCAACAACTGAGCCAGATTGTTGGATCTCAGTTTGTGTGACTGAAGAAGGAAACCATGTTAAGTTCTAGCTACTTCAGTACTGATTCAGATTTGGCTCCATGCCCAGGAGGAGGAGTGCATCTTCCTCATTTTACAGACAGGGAACTGAGACATAAAAGAGAATAAATGCCTTTCTTAAGTTCATAGTGGAAGTCTGTGGCAAAGACTCGAACCCAGCTCTGAGCTTCAGCCTAGTTCCCTAATCACTAAATCATCCTTCCTCTGAAGCCTTAATACATTACACTACAATACAATACACTGTTTGCGCCTGCCACTTTAAGACTTGAGGCCAAGCAGCCAGCAGGTGGTTAATTGCGGCAGCCATTTTAGAGCTCTAGCCACCCATATAAATAGGGCCTTCCCCTTTATGGGTGTGGTCCCCCTGGGACCTTTGGCTCTGCTGGCCCTGGCCCCACCTCCAGGCCAGTTGGCACCCCAGGCCCTCAGCTCTGGGCATCCCTCGCGATGGGTCCCCGGCCCTTTGACTCATCTGGTCCTGGCCTCAGCATTGAACACTTGGGGGATGTCAGGACAGGTTTCTTGAGTCTATGGCCCCACTGTATCACTGGGGTACACCTTCCGAACCCTACAAGGGGGTAACCCACCTGGTTGTGGCAGCTGGGGTTAAGGCGCCCCAACCCACCTTTCACCAGGGTGGAAACTGGCCTGGCATTTCCTGGGAGCCCCCGTGCCACTGTGGGCCCCACCAGGCCACCCACTCCTGGCAGGGTGCAGGAGACCAACTCCTGGCAGGTCAAGCCCAGGACCAGGAGCCTCCTGACCATCCCATACAGCTCCTCCCCTACCTCCAGAGTGTTCCATGAAGCCTCACAGCCAGGTGATGTTGCTGCACCAAGCAGCCAGCAGCAAAATGCCCTGTTTATATGGGTGGCCAGAGCTGTAAAATGGCTGCCGCAATTAAACACCTGCTGGCTGCTTGGTGCAGCAACATCACCTGGGTCAAAAGGCCAGGGGCACACTGTGAGGGATGCCCAGAGCTGAGGGTCTGGGGTTCCGACTGGCCTGAAGGTGGGCCATGGCTAGTAGTAGAGCCAAAGGTCCTGGGGGGACCACACCCATAAGGAGGAAGCAGCTCAGGGAGCTATGCAGCCTAGAATGAATGTGGAATAGGCCGTATGCATGGAGGGATCCAGGTGGGGTTCACAGTAGGATTCTGGGGCCCAAAGTGGGGCTGGTGACTCTAAGAACAGAGGATGCCATCTGTGAGGCATGGGCTGTGGTGTAGGGGAGGTACGGAGCTGCAAACAGTGCCCCCTGGCATGGGGGCAAGAAATGGGCAGCCTTCTGCTTAATTAACAACAATTAATTAATTAACAACAAGGCGTGGTGGGCAAGAAGGTGGGTGGTTAGCCCAGAAAAAGGTGGGGGGGCCACAGGGAAATTGGCCCTGAGAAGGTCCCCTGTTACAGGGACCTGGGACAGAAGTTCAGTAAACCGATTTAACCTAAATCAGTTAAGTCTGATAGTACATCAATATGGGTCTATCTTTAACCGGTTTTGCCATTTCAAAAGCAGCTTATATGAATTAAATTTCTGTTATGTCGCATATTTGAACCAGCTTCCGATCACATACCCGTTTGTGTGTCATTTCTGTCCCTAGCCTAAGAATATCGGTATAAACTGAAGGTTGTCAGGAGGCTGTAATGCATACAAAGCCTTTGCTTGCTCTGTGTATAATGTTATGTAGTATTAATAAGACAAACTGTTATTTTTTGATAGCTTGGACTTTTGACCTTACTAAGTCAAACTTATTTGACAGAGTTTACTGTTATTCCTGTTAAATACATGATTCAAATGGAAAAATATTTGCTGGTGAGAATTACCTTGGGAATTTGCTAGGTGGCAGTAGAGTATCCCATACAGCTCTGGGTTTCTGTTTTTTTTTAATAGTGGTTTGAAGGTCCTACCCTAAAGAAATAGTGTTAACTGTATGTTGCTTCTGCTGCTTTGTTTGTGCAATAAAGAGGCAAAACAATGGACCAAAAAGTAGAAGCCACAGTTCTTGGAAACAATATCACACCACGATAGGAAAAAGGAATCTATCATAATGTAAGAAGCAGGGCTGAACAACCAAGCGACCCTTTCCAAAGCACAAACTTGGTTTCAATCTGGAAAACAAGTGATTGTCTCTCTAAGAAGAAGGAAGTTGTGACTTTGGGGGCAGTTCACTCGAGGCTCCATCGCATAAAAGAACTTGAATAGGGAAGAGAGGACTGGGTGAATATTTTGATGACTGATTTTCTTATGAAATAGGGACATGCAATTTCTATTTAGGTGCTTTCATTTTGGAATTAATGTTATGTTTGTTGCCAGAATTCAAGAGCTTTTTTCCATGGAATGTCTGGCCAAAACACATTTGCTTGACCAGGCTAAAGAGAAATGCCAGGGATGCCTGCAGCAATGTACATTTCAGGAATAAGCAATCTGGTTTGAATAAAATCCCTCCCACCTTGCTGTAGAGCTTAAGTTTAACCTTTTCTGAGAATCAAAGATTTAGATAACTTAACAACATTTTTTTGTGGATGCTTCTGTGTTCCATCTCATGTCTGGCTTGAAGCTCCTGCAATGATATTAGAAAGGTTGTTCTGACAGGAGTCCTGTCTTAATCAAAAATAGAAATTAACTAGTGATTTACAAGTAAAGCTGACCCTGACACATATCTGTCCTGATTTTCTATACCAAGAGGTTTAACGAATTTGGATGAGCATCTGTACTCCTGAGGTTTACTCGGAAGCATAAATTATTTATAAAGCTGGTTTTTTGCCATGGGGAAACAATTGCAGAACTCATAGATTTATGGATAAATTGTGAAAAGTCAGGAGGTCGCATACTGAGTAGACTGGAAAAATGGTCTGTATCAAGCAGAAGAAATACAACAAAGACAAGAGCAGTCCTGCACTTGGGATGGAATAGTTGAATTCATAAAGATGGATTGGGGAATGACTGGCTAGGCTGCAGTACTGCAGAGGAGGACCTGGAGGTTATAGCAGACCATAAGCTGAATATAAGTCAACAGTGTGCTTTTGCTGAAAAAAGGCCAACAGCATACTGAGTTGTATTAACAGGAGTGTCACTTGTAAATCAAGGGAAGTGATTGTTCCACTCTATTCAGCACTGGTGAGGCCTCACTTGGAGTACTGCATCCAGTTATGGGCCCCACACTTCAAGAAGGATATGAACAGTTTGGAAAGTGTCTAGCACAGACAACAACAATTATTAAAGGCCTGGGAAGTAAGACTTATGAGGAATGGCTGAAAGAGATAGGATTATTTAGTTTGGGGAAGAGACAATTGAGGGGGGAACTGATGTCCTCAGATACGTGAAGGGCGATTACAGAGAGGATGGAGGTGATCTTTTCTCTGGGGCCTCAAGCTGCAGCAGAGGAAATTTAAATTGGAGGTTAGGGGGAACTTTCTGACTATGAGGATGGTCAAGTACTGGAACAAGCTATCTAGGGAAACTGTGGAATCTCCATTCTTGCAAGTTTTCAAAAGCAGGTTAGGTAGACACTTGGCTGGGATGGTTTAGTCAGGGATGATCCTGCCCTGAGCAGGGGGCTGAACTAGATGAGCTCATGAAGTCCCTTCTGCTGGCTCTGGATTACCCAGATGCCTTGTTCCGGGGGGACCCACTCTCAGACTGACCATGACCTTTCCATTCAATAACAGGCAAATTTATTGATACACAGTGATAACAGAAAAGAAACAAAACAAGCAAGCAAGCAATTCTATATCTCTACCAAACTGAGGGCTATCATCAGAGTCAAACGTCTGGCCAGGATGCTTCACTCTGAAGGCTCTCTCTTACGTGTCAGATGTCAGCAGCCTGGAGGTGGGATGCTGAGGCCCACCCACCCCTCCCCCCAGTGGGGTGGATGAGAGAGGCTGGTGAAGTGCCCTCTGTCCATGGTGTCCTCAGGGACCCCTCCTGGGGAATTGGGATGGGGACCCCTCTCAGGGATCCTCTTTGGGTGGAGGATGGGGAGGAGGGATGAGGTGGAGGACACGGGAGGGGGTGCGGACTTTTGCTGCTCCAAAGTCCTTCTTTTGTATTCTCCTTCCCTCCTGATGACTTTTCATCCATGGCTATCACTGATTGGTCTCTCTCTGTTGGTCACACTGTCCACGTTCTGTTCTGTCAGCATATTCCAAGCCCATCACATTTTCACCCTTCCCAAGACAGCAATTTTAGGCCCCCCTCTTTGGCCTTGTGAGCTGGTGCCACCTTATTCCATGTTATGGAACAGTGTGGTACATGCCCCCAGTTTCTCAGGCTGTGTCCGTGTTTGTTAGACAACCTGTCTGCTTCTGAAGGCTGAGAAAACTGTGCATGTGAGCCCTAGGCTTTTAGAAATCAATTAACCCCTGCTGCCCATCCTGAACCATTCCAATACATATATACACACACACACACACACACACACCTATAAACCAATTCCCAAAAAGCAAACCTTTAAATACCATTTTCAAGCCATCACCTTCCAGCCTTACATTCCTGTGATCCTTTACTTTTCAGTATACAGTACTGTTAAAGCCTAGCTCAGTCTCCTGTACTGTCCTGCCCGGGATATACTATAAGGTATTCACAGAATGGTCTTGCTCAGTCCTGAACGTCATCTTTAAGTGTCAGGCCCTTTTCAACAAATAGCTTTTCCCAAGTGAATTGGGTGTGGCCCAAATCCTAAGGTATGGAAAGAAACCTCCCTGCATCCCCCGGATATCTCAAAGCTCCTAGAAGCCTGAAGCCTGCTTGATCCAGAAACCAGAGTTCAGGAAGACGTGTTACTCTATCATTCTTTTCAAGGTCCTGAAGCCTCTCCATTTGCTCTCTGTCACTAGATCTGCTTCTCACGTATCTTGGCCAGCTTCTGCTTCCTGATCCAACATAAAGCTATTTCTTTCCTGAGCTGTGGCTACAACTTGGGGTAAGGGAGGTGGAACCTCTGTGGATAAGCCCTGCAGGGCAGCCATCTGAGCACCATTCACATCTGCATTAGGCACTGTTGTTGAGGTTCTACAGTTCAGTGCTTCATGTAGTGATTTTACTATAGTTTAATACTCTTTTGTATAGGTGCTGTTGCCTCCTAGGTCTAGTTTAAGTGGGAGGTTCATAGTACCTGAAATGGTAACAGTGAAATTTCCAAGCAAGCTGCGCATACTTCAGCAGCATTAGCAGTGACCTCTGTATTATGTCAGGGTTACAATTCAATAAACAGAAAGTGGAAACTTACACCCTTCTTCCTACCTAAAGTATCTGTCTTCAGTAACCAGCTATTGATCAATAATCTACAATAGATTGAAAGAATATGTAAATAAAAATAAATATTGATTAAAAAGTCTGCCTGGAGCCTTCTGTCTCTGTCTGTGCAACCACATGCCCAACAATGATTCAACCTTTGCTTTGAACGTGTGATCAAACCAGCAAGTTGATTCACTTTAGAGTGATGGCTGCAATTGATTTGCACATTTATGTAAGTAATTAGTAGCCCACTTGGCTCATGGGCTGTACCGACTCAGGGCTGTTGGCTGAGCTTGCACTGTGTATGCCCTGAAGCTGAAACTTTGATCTATACATTCCATTGGCTGAGTTGTTTCTAAGCAAGAAGAAACTTTTTAAAAGCTTATGCTTGGCTCTTATACATACTGTAGGATAAAACCTATCATACATTCTTCGTAAGTACCTTAACCACGTTGGTGCAAAGAGATGCTATCGAATTACAAATCTGCTTTGCTTTTGTGATACATGTCAGATTGGGAAAAAGATACAAAAATTTTAAAAGCAACTGTTTTATTAATGTTTTTATGGCACAGTTAATTTCTTGGATTGCAGGATTTGTATCAATAGAAGGAAAATGGGGTTCCTTTGGGGGAACTAGGAGATCTCATCACAATGTCAAAAATGATATATAAAATCTGGAATCAAAACACTGTTTTCTTTTTCTTTTTAACCACTTTTTTAAACTATAGGTGACACCTATCTTAATATAATATTTTTTAGATAGTTTAGTTATTGCATGTAAGCTTTGAAAAAACCTTCCATTCATGCTACAAAGGTTAAATATGTCAATGAACCACACATTACATGTGATTCATTGGAAAAAAGAAACTTCCAGCAGGGATGAATTTGTCATACTGTTTGTACTACCTTTGTAGTTCTCTCTCTTCCGGTGAAATTCGAGAGGCAGCTCAAGTCCTGTGCTATTACATCAGCCCAATTAAATTAAGAGGAGGAAGTATCATACTTTGTTTCTCTGATGTTTTTCTCCCTTAACTTAATTGAGGCTTTAGAGAGCTTCTGGAATGTGGAAACTCTGTTTTGTGGAACTATATAGGAATTTTACAGCATGGAAGAAATTTTAACATATCGGATGCCACCCAGACCCTATACTATTGTCCTGTGTCTTGTGTCATTAATTACACTAATCCAGAGACAGATAAAAGTGCTTGTTTGTAATTGCAAACCACCTCCACCCCCAGAAAGAAGTATAAACCCCCCAATGTACTTATGGGATGTTGAGGACATCAGCTTTCTGCTGGTATACACCATCAGTTTCTGGCCTAGACAGTAGTCTGGTCCAGCTTCAAAACTGTCACTTGTCCATCAAATCGGCTGGTTGTTTTCTTAATACTTTGCTCAGATTAAGTATAGGATGTCCAGGAAGGGTGTCCAGGAAGGGTGGTCATTCCTAAAGGAAGCCATCCTTCGGGCACAGAGGGAGACTATCCCAGTGTGAGGGAAAAGGGGGAAAGGAGCCAAAAAACTTCCTTGGCTAAATAGGGAAATCCAGGGGAGCCTAAGGGCAAAAAAGAAGGCATATAGGTGGCAGAAGCAGGGGAAAGCTACCAAGGAGGAGTATACCTACTTGGCCTGCACTTGCAGGGTGGCAGTTAGAAAAGCCAAGCAACTACAGAGCTGAGGCTGGCAACACAAAGGCAACAAAAAGTCTTTTTCTAGGTATATAGGGAGTAAAAGGAAGGTGCAGGGCAGCATAGGACCCCTGCTGTACAAGAAGGAGCAATTAGTGACAGGGGAGGTGGGACAAGGCTGAGCTATTCAATCAGTTTTTTGCCTCTGTTCCTGAACAGGGGTTAAGGTAGTCTCCTAATGGGATTGCAGATGGGCATCAGAGGGACACCAGCTCACCAACTGATGTTGCTGACTTGATGCAGAGTCACGTGGATGGACTGGATGTGTTCAAGTCAGCAGGCCCAGATGAGCTGCATCCGAGGGTACTGAATGAATTGGCCGGTGTCATAGCAGAACCACTGGTGTGGCTGTTTGAGCACTCATGGCGCTCAGGTCAGGTCAATGGAAAAGGGCCAATGTGGTCCCTGTTTTCAAGAAGGGGAGGAAGAAGGATCTGAGTAATTATAGGCCAGTCAGTCTCACCGCCATCCTTGGAAAGGTCTTTGAAACGATTATGAAGGATCATATTTGTGGGAGTCCAGCAGGAAAAATAATGCAGCAGGGAAACCAGCATGGATTTGTAGCAGGTAGATTATGCCTGAGCAATCTAGTTTCATTATATGACAGGGTCACAAAATGCTTAGATGCAGGATTAGAGGTAGATGTTGTTTTCTTGGATTTTAGCAAGGACTTCAAGATGGTATCTTATCCCATTCTCATAAATAAATTAAGAGACTGTAACATAGATGTTTACACGGTCTGGTGGGTGGCAAATTGGCTTAGCAGTTGCACCCAGAGAGTGGTAGTAGATGGGTCAATATTGTCCTGGAAGGATGTGGGTAGTGGGGTCCTGCAGGGTTCAGTCCTTGGACCTGTGCTCTTCAATATCTTCATCAGTGACTTGGATGTGAGTATGAAGAGTACTCTGTCCAAGTCTGCAGACAGTACTAAATTGTGGGGTGAAGTGCACACTCTGGAGGGTAGGGAACGATTGCAGGCAGACCTGGACAGGTTAGAAAAGTGGGCAGTACACAATAGGATGCAGCACAACAAGGACAAATGCAGAGTGCTGCACCTAGGGCACAAAAATATCCAGCACACCTACTGGCTGGGAAGTGACCCTCTCAGTAGCACAGAAGCAGAAAGGGATCTCGGAGTCATAGTGGACTCCAAGATGAACATGAGTCACCAGTGTAACACAATTATCAGCAAAGCTAACCACACTTTATCATGCATAAGCAGTCGCATGACAAACAGGTCCAAGGAGATGATGCTTCCCCTCTATGTGGCATTGGTTAGACTGCAGTTGGAGTACTGTGTCCAGTTTTGGGTGCCATACTTCAATAAAGATGGTAATAGACTCAAGAGGGTCCAGAGGAAGGCTATGTGTATGGTTAT